GTATCGTGTTCGGATGTCTTTCATGTTTTTCGCGTCGAGTTGGTCGTGTCGCGCGCGAAGCTCGAAAGAAATCGCGTACTTCACCGCGAGTGAGAATCTCTCCGTCATCGTTGAGCATTTCGGATTAGAACCTAGACTTCCGGTATTGAAGACTACGTTAAACAAAATAACTATTTCCTATTTTTCCTACATATTATGCGTGCATCTTCTTTAAGAAATGCGAAAGTTTCTAATTTCCTATGAAATAGTCGGGTTTAATCCGATCGTAGACTTTACTAAACAATTAATATAACATATAAACAATATAATATATAATATATAATTATCGCAAAACTAACTTGATTTAATCGAGTTAGAAGAATTTAGGAATATTTTATAAAAATGATTTAATTTGAAAATAATATTTAAGGAATGTTGTAATCTCTTCTCTTTTTTTTTAAGATAATTAATTTTAATTTCTAAGATTTAATTTGTATATATTATAAAAAATTACAAGAGGAAATTAGAACTCCTTTTATATTTTTATATTATCGCTATTATTATTTGTATTAATATATACTAATTATTTTAATTGCTAATCAATCAGTTATTGTTTCAACGGCTTTGCCTAAGAATTTAATCTACGTGTGCTGGAAAATGAGGTGAAACGGACATGAAGAAACCACTGACGAATTTCCGTGAATAGAAAAGAATCGCGAGAGACAGTAGAATAATAAATCTTGCTACTCAGCCATTCCGACAGTAGAATTTTGCAACGGAAAAGAAATTTCAGCGCGGCGACGACGACGACGCTTTTTCTTACTCGATATAGGAAACGCGTTTAATGGAAGAGCAGTCGACAGACGCTCCGAGATGTCTTAAAGGCCATCGGTTCGGTCGAACCTGTCGGATAACTTGGTAGTAAGACTTATCGCGTGTCGTAGAACGGTCCCGGGGAGACAAGGGTCCTCCACGAGTAGGGCAGTTTGTCGAGATCCTCCGCGACAACTATCTTCTACAGGCAGTAGAAGCCCTCTTTGTCTCTCTCGATAGTGGCTTAGAAACCGTTCTCTCTTTCTTTATAACCGCCTCCAGTTGTCCACGTTCGAAAACGATCTGAAACGTGCGACGACGATCGAATTAATTCTTTTTGCCGATCCGAAACTTATTCGGTTAGAAACGCATCACGTTCCTGCCATCGGCACGTACGCGACTCTTGTTCCTGCGGATAATTCCGATAGTGGACATCGGCTATTTAGCGTAATCGACATCCGTAGACCAAAAATAAAGCAGCGGGCATTGCTGCGGGATGTGATTGGATCCACGCCGTTTATTTTAATTTGCAGAAAACAAGGCGCGAGGATAGGAACAAAGGGCAATAATTGTTTCGTTCGACCCCACGATCCTGATCTATAAATTAACGGCTCTTTCGGGCCTCTCTTCTTAATTGGGCCGCGTATTAATCCCCCTCCAGGATGCGACCGCAAGGATTTATTTGCGGGGTGATGCGAAGGGGAAAGAACGGCGGTGATAAGAGAGACTCAGAAACTGGCTGGAAACGTGGAAGGACACGTGGGATTACGAGGTCTTAACTGTGCGTGCCAAAATGGACGAGGATCGCCACCCTTGACATTCTAGTGTGAAGATATCTGAAATACAATGCTCCGAAAAAATCCATACAGGCACAGATTTATATTTCCCATGACTTTATTATCTAATGAGAAATCTGTGAGCAATTTGAATTCTTCTTAAATAAAAGTATTAGAGCTTATAAATATTTTGGATTATTATAAGCGGTCTACGGAGTTCGCGAAATTATTATTTCTTATTTTGAATAACTTCTATTTTAACAAAATTCAATATTGACAATTTAATCTTGACAATTAATATGATATCGAAAATTGAATTAAAGAAGATTGAAAATTTTATTCATCTTTATAACAGTTTATGTAAATAACGTAAATTATTAAGTTATATTTTATATTACGTGAATGTTGATATTTGATTATTATTGCAATTCTGTATTTCCTAATTTGATTCGTATTTACGGAAATTAATGACGCGTTGTGATATTGATAAAATATAATCGTGCATTTATCTGGTTTCGCTAATAGGCAATTTTGCGCCGAGTCGTGCATCGGAACGTTACATTGTAACATTACGTATGTTAAAATAGGCGTTAATCGCACGTCGTAATTTTTCGGCGTGCAATTTGGATAACGAGCGTCGCGACCGAATGAATGCACAGACGGGAGAAAGTAGACAAATTTGATCAACGGCTGCGACACCTTGACGTCCTATTCGTTTCCGGTTGTCGCGTCAGCTTGCTGGAAGCGGCTAATTAATAATAAGCGCTTAATTATGCGAATGGATGCGCGCTTTTGTTGATTGCGAAAGCAGATACGGACGAATGTCACCCACGAGGAAAGCCTATTCGAAAGCATATTTCATGCAGCTTCGCATTCCGTGCGTGCATTTGTAAAACCGGATATACGCCATGTAGCCGTGTAACAATTGCAACATGCTACTGCAAATGCAATTATTCGTAAACTAATATTTATCAAAGACGTGTACGCATTTATCTGCGGATTAAAAAAAAATTCTTAAACAATTAGATATAAATCCGTCGCGCTTTTTTTAAAGCTCTCGACTTTTACAAAATAATGTAAAAAATTTCAAATTACATTACGCTTTATATAAGCTTCTTTGAACATTTTGCATATTGTAATTTGTGTTTTCCATCATATTTAAATCATTTACAATTTATTCATATATCAAAATCAAATATCAATATCAGAATTCTAATTCTATATAAATTAAAATAATTTACACAAAGATTAATTGGCTATTTCTATATTTTTTGCTCTATATTTTTTTGATATTTCTGGTATATAAAATAGAATACTAATTTGTATCGAGAATAACAGATATACCAAAAACCGTGTCGTTGTCAACGACACGACGTTTTATCGCGGAGATTTTCAAATGGTCCTGCGCATTTCTTGTTGACTGAGGGAAGTTAAATAGGGGTGACTCTCTCTTCTCTAGAAGAGGCTGCGCCGTAACGATTTGGAAGCCGCTTTGACGTACGGTTGCTCCCACGAGATCTTTGTGAGTAAATATATCGCGAGCATCCACACAGACGCCGGATAAGAGATAAACAGCCGCGAAATTCATCTTAATTTAAGAACACGGCTCTCGCAAAGTGTAGTCCTCCAAGTGTAGTCACGATGAAGAAAATGAGGCGCGACTAATTGAATCACGTGGAATTAGCGTGGTAGATGCGAGGGTGTCCCCGAGAAGATTAATGAAACGATTTCGTTAACGATCGCGTCATCTCGCGGCCCTTTCGAAAATCGTTAACGCTGTTGTTATCCTATCAATTCAATGATTGACAAATCGTACAAAAACATTATGTATATTCTAATATAATAATAGTGAGTTAAAAACGCCTGTTACTATATTGTATCTAATAATATTGATTAATTAATGCAATTGATTAATCATTAAGTATAATCGATTTATTTCATTATTATTAGTATAATATATTGGGATATATATTACATTTTCGTACGATCTGTTGATTAACTAATTCGTGCTTATTCGACCAGAATCGCAGGTAGCTTATCAACTTCCGTTTATTACCCACGAATTCGCGATTAATGACCACGGGATCCACATATCTGTGCCATCTACGAAGGCGCACGCGGGTGCGTGTATCGCGATCTCTAACCGGGCATTCGCGATTAGGATGGAATTTTAGGGTGTGCTTCACGACGGGTGTTTGCGACGAAAACGAGAAGGGCGGAAGTCGCACAGGCGGGTGCGCGATAATTAATAAACAAACTCATAGATATGCGATAGGACGTCGCGTGTGAGATTTACATTGGGGGGAGGAGACTTTTGCTTTTCCCTTCGCTTATCGCCGATTAGAAACGCGAGTGTTCGCGCGCGCCCGGCGACCTTCGATCGTTGCTTTAGAGTAGCTTTTTTATTTTACTTTCTTTCTCGGGAGTGGCTCGACAAAGTTGGCCGAGGGTTAAAACGTTTTCAGGCGCCTTGCTTCATAGTGAAAGTTTCGTTGCATCGCGCAAAAACAAGGGTGAGTTACGAGCGAAGGGTGAAGTCCGTCTCTCGTCGTCCTATTCTTTCTGTACCTACGTTTAGGAGTCGGATAGTTCAGGCGATACATTTGAATTTGCCACCATTACCCCACCAATCGCCCTACCGTTTATCTTCATCCCTCTCCCGAGGGATATTTCCATTAGGTAATTATCGCGTCAACGGATAAGTCTAGTCTAAGTTCTTCTTGGTAATCAATTAGCTTTCTCGATATATCGTGGGATAAATTTCTTGTTTACAGCTATTAATCGAATTAAAAATTTCAACAAATTTTTTGAAATTTTTAAAAAGATATCATATCTTATAATATGTTGATTCTTGCATTTGTTCTTGCTTCTTAAATATTTTTCTTCTTCTTGATATATTGTTTTTGTGAAAATATATTTTGTGTGTGAAGGGGTATATTTTTTATTTGCGAATAATACTCTATATTTATAAATGTTTCAAAAAATAAAAATTATCTTCTTATCGATTAGCTGACTGTTCGAGAAGAACGGTTCAGTTGATCTTTAACCGGTACTAGCGTACGATTTAAGAGCCGAATATCATTGCGATAATTTTCACCAAACGGAAATCGTGAAATCTCTGTCTTATCTTCCTAAGAGTCTTCGTGTATATACCCGAACATTCGCTATTACTGGTAGGACCGTATTTCTTCGATTATCGCGTGCGTGTGCGTCAAGACGAGCGGAATACAGGTTTTATCATTTGCTTCGTCTACGTAATTAAGGTCCCGATTAAGCGCGAATTCGGGAGCTTCTCGCCAAACAATGCGCTATGAATCAGCAACGCAGTGTTGCGTGATTCTACGAACAGAAATCTCGGTCGTCGAATAGTTTTAATCTCATATATTGTTTCGTGCACATAATTTAATAATAATTTTTCTTGTTTGATTGCAGGTAAGCGATGAACGCGATGGCCTACTTGTTGGAAGGAATTACGCTCGTGTTTTGGTCGGATCACAGAGTGACGTGAAATATAATATACCCAGTGAGTCCATTTGTACGAGTAAAAATATTTTCGCGGGCGACTCGTAATTTCGTTTGTTTGGCTGACGCGTGTATCTAAGAAATGGCGCACTTTGCTATGTTTTTGCGGCATTGCACGATAAATTGTTCGAGTAGAATAGATCGCCATTTACGTAAACATGTCCACTCGCACCACTCGCTGTATATTCCGAGCAAAGAGGAATATAATAAAACACTGTGAAGGATCGCGATACTGCGAGAAGTTAAATGGATAACATAATGGTCCCCGGGTTAACGCAAGAGCATCCAGAGCGACGCGGTGGTAGGGCAAAGGCGCCGGAATTTCAGCCATTTTCTTCGGGATTCGTCTCGCACGCGTATTTTTCGAAAGGGCTGACTATAGAGGGGTCGTCCGGGTTTCGCGATCTCCGCGTAATCTTATTTGCAATATATCTCTGTGAGAGGAAGGTCGCGACGAGAGACCGATCCGTCGTTTTCTAGCGAACTTTTACTTTATAATCTTGCGTTTCTCGCTCGATGTTTCCAACATTCTCGATGTCGTCGTCACAGTATCTCTTTCTCTCTTTTTTTTTTTTTTTTTTTTTTTTTTTTTTTTTATCGAAGTACGTACGACATACTTTTACGAGTGTTCTAACACGAACTATAAATTTCTCATTTTATGCCGGCCGTTAAACGTTTTGCTACGACTTTTCTACGGCGAAAAAACGCATCGGCAAACAAGTGCGTTGCACTTTTGATAATTCACAGTTAGGCCCGCAGCTATAATGACTTACGGCGCAAATTCTTCGATCGCGAAAACCATTGCCTCTTGGCGTACAGTGGCACGGAAGTGACTTTGTCGTAAGGGTGATATCGAGGGACCGTTTACGCCGTCGTTCCCCTATTCCGGTTTACGGTGGTTTAATTATCGACTGAACCGGCACGACGATAAATCTCGGCAGCTGCTTAACGCTGAGAACGGTGGAGTGCAGTTGGGAAAGAGCGGCGCAACAGTTCGACGAAATTGACGTCCTCGAATTTCTTGGCTTCTCTTGATAAATTCATCGTGTCGCATTTCACTCGCGACGGTCGCGCGCACAGTCGCCGGATAAATTATACTCGTGCTAATTTCGACGTTTGAACATTCGATGATAAACGGTGTGGCGGGAGAAGGAGAGAAGGCAAGCTGCGCGATCTTAAAAATAGGATTTCTCTCCCATAGGGAAATCTAATTTCTCTTCCGGCGCGCGCTCTTTCGCCAAAGTTCGCGATAAAAGTTAAATCGGAATTAACGAATTAAACAGTTCAACGAACGGCTTTAAATAAATCCTGCGAATAAGAAGGAAAGTTCCATAATCGTCGAAAGTTCGATGACTTTTAGCAGATAGATGCTACGGGAAGATGGTAGCGTTTTATTTGCAGATAGATAGATAGATTCGGCTCGCGGAAATTATAATATATATATTTAAAAAAAGGTTTATTACATTATGTATATATATATATATATACAAGAATTATAAGTTAAGTTATAATGAATAATGAGATAGATATTAGCAGAGCATATATATATATTATTCAATCTGTATCGACGAAATTGACGTCCTCGAATTTCTTGGCTTCTCTTGATAAATTCATCGTGTCGCATTTCACTCGCGACGGTCGCGCGCACAGTCGCCGGATAAATTATACTCGTGCTAATTTCGACGTTTGAACATTCGATGATAAACGGTGTGGCGGGAGAAGGAGAGAAGGCAAGCTGCGCGATCTTAAAAATAGGATTTCTCTCCCATAGGGAAATCTAATTTCTCTTCCGGCGCGCGCTCTTTCGCCAAAGTTCGCGATAAAAGTTAAATCGGAATTAACGAATTAAACAGTTCAACGAACGGCTTTAAATAAATCCTGCGAATAAGAAGGAAAGTTCCATAATCGTCGAAAGTTCGATGACTTTTAGCAGATAGATGCTACGGGAAGATGGTAGCGTTTTATTTGCAGATAGATAGATAGATTCGGCTCGCGGAAATTATAATATATATATTTAAAAAAAGGTTTATTACATTATGTATATATATATATATACAAGAATTATAAGTTAAGTTATAATGAATAATGAGATAGATATTAGCAGAGCATATATATATATTATTTTAGACATCAATCTGTATAATATACAGCTAATTTATTTTTTTGCATGACACGAGAGAAATATTTTAATTCTTCTTTTTTTCACCTCCAGATTCTTCCAGTTTATCTAACAATACGTAATAGCGACTACATTCTTTGTCCGAGCATCGTGAGCTATCCTCATTGAAAAAGGTCATTTCTCACGTCGGCCTCCTGAGAGCACTTCATTAAGATGGTCTATCAAACGACGGTCTTTCAAGCGTTTCGACAAGAGACCGTTTTCTCGACCTGACCTTGTCGAAGGCAGGGGACAACCGGACCCTTGAAACACGTTCACGAACGTTTTGTAACGAAGGGCAAAGCGCCGAGCAAGGTTCCTTCCTTCGAAATTCTGATGAAGAGAATCGAGCGAAAGCTCGATGAAATCAACTTTCTGACATCTTACCTTAGCGTTATTCTCTAGAAAGATTCGATCGTCGTCGAAAAACCCTGTTCTTGAAGACTCTTTGTCTGAAGGACAGAAGAGCCCATATTAACGAAGATGATCTTTGCCCGATTCCTTTATGTTTCAAAGATCTTCGTCATGAAACTGTTCGATTTCGCAAATTAATGATGCGAATCGGAGATTCTTATCATATTTTATTTTTATTATTATATTATAACATCTTTATTGATAAAATTACGTAGGAAAAGATGATATAAATAATTGCATGAGAGATTTCTCAACTGTATCTTCTTTTATGCATTTTATATTTAAAATTTTTTTTCTGTACAAATTTATTTACTAACAGTTTCCGCAAACACATTAATCGCACCAATTTTAACATTAGCTATATATTCATGCTGACCTGTGCTGCGTTACTATTTTTTTTTTTTTGCAAACGATATCCTCGAATACGACTCTTCGTATCCGGCGTTTTATCGACTTTCAGCGAGTCGCAACTATCCGCGGAAATAGGGTCGTAAAACTTCGATACTTCCTTCCTTCCAGCTGCACGACGTTCTCAACGATTCTAGAGATAAGCCTAAAGACAATAGGGTGTGCTAGTAGGAAATGACAGCCCACGGGGCTCGAAGATCTAACCCAGATTAAGGGTCGTGAAATCTTTCTTGCGTACCTTCCTCTCAGCCTCTCTCGCCCACGCCGCTTTTCCCCGCATCATTTTAGAAACTTGGCGAATCCCCACTCACGAGAGTACCCACTCGAGTTCCCGGCCAAAACACTTGCCAAGCTACACGTCCTTTGAGGAGGGAATAAAAATCGGGGATGGGAAGAATGAGGAAGAGAGGCAGATCCTCACACCGAAGCATAACCGAATATATCCAAATCCTCCGCGAACGAACGCAGACACGGCGCCTACTCGGAGGTAAAGATACACGGTGTGCTCTTGAGAAAACTTATACAGTAATGGCGGGTTCGTTTCCCGTCTGACCGCGACGGTTTTCCCTACCTTGAAAGATTATCCCTGAGTGGCGGCGTTTGCGTCCCCGAGCATTTTGCGTGTAACGTGACGCGTAAAGTGGTAAGATAAAAACCGCGGGAACCACGAAAAAGATATCCCTGAATTGTACTTGAAAGAATAATTGCTACATTTATGAAGAAGAGGTCAATTGTGACAAAGAACATTCTCATAATACTGGTGATAATCCAAATTTTTAATCGCTATATAAAATCGAAGCAGGGAATTAAATTCCTAATTTAAATATATGCATATGTGCATACATGGCTTTTTTTATAAAACTACACACTGATTAATTTTTTCCTACACAAAAGACCGTACATATAAATACTCATTTAAAAAAATAGCGGCTGCAAAAAACGCGAGAAGAAATTTTAAAATTAACCAATAGAAATGGATTTTCCAATTTTCTCTAATGTTGAACATAATCGCTCGCAGTGTAATTTCTTTTGTATACGCCCTGCCGTAATGCTTTCTCCGGAATCTCTCGCGTCTACTAAATCAGCCACACTGTAACTATGCCTAATCACTAACTGCAGTCAAACGACGCGTTAATCCACGGAGCAAAGCCGATCTCGAATCTATGCAAATACAATTACCCTTCTCTCTTTGCTGTCGAGCTCACCAGCGCTCTCGGCGCGGAGATCGGTCGGTTCTTATCAGATCGTTTCTCAGAGTATCGTGCAAACGAGGCAGGATCATCCCCGGGACTATGATAATGCAATGGGGAGAGCTTTATCCCGTGGGATTAGCCAGGTCCGCGGAAAGGTTTTTTTCCTGCAAAGTTTCGAGGCACACCAAAAAGAATCGATCGCGTTTTTATTTAGGTATAATATCGCATTGTCTTAAATTTGTACAAAGACATGAAAATATTAAAAGTTAAATGAAATTTGTACTTTAGATCGTTCTGTAATTTAAAAATTTAATTGCAAATAAATATCCTGAATATATGAAAACAATGCTCACGCATTTTATAAAAAATACAAACATCTAAATTTTTGCTAAGAAAGGGTCGCTTTTAATTTCGTCAGGAATTACTTTCGTATAAAAGAAAGCACGATGTAAAATCTATTTTATACATATATTATTTTATTATGCCAAAATTTATCCTTTTTTACTATCTAACTTTATATAAGAACTAATATTATTGGACGCATTGAATACTTTCCGCCAATTTAAATTAAATTAAAGATTTTAGGTTTTTAGAATTCCTGCAACTTTTTGTTTAATTTTTCCTCGTTTTACTACCATTTTCGCTTCAATAGTGAACATTTGTGTATGCGTTGTTCTTCGGAAAATCGAGCACCGCGAATTACGGCTTTTAATCCCGAAAGTGCACTCTCGGTTTGCCGTAGATACCGTATTCAACTATCAATACGAGCCGCATATCGTGAAATTCGTGTCGTAAATCAGGTTTTAACTAAAGGCCTTTGGGTGAGTG